CAATTTGTGATAGTGGGGTAATTAAATCCACCACTACAGTTGTATGAGTGCTTATTTGGTTTTTCATGTTACTTAATATTTGTTTTATATAGTTGGGGGCATTTAGATTTGGTTCGTATATGTTTATGATTGTCATCTCTTCCTCTTGAATTGTTCCCTTTACAAGGATGTAGTGGCCTTCTTTGTCTCTCTTAATGAGTTTTGGTTTGAAACTTACTTTGTCTGTGAATAAGATTGCTACCCCTGCTTTTTACTGGGCTCCTGTCACATGGAGAATTGTTTTGCATCCTTTCACTTTCAGTCTATGGGCTTCTTTTTGCACTAGGTGTGTTTCTTGTATACAACATAGTGTTGGATTTTGCTTCTTAATCCATTCTGCCAGTCTATTTCTCTTGATTGGTGAATTGAGGCCATTAACATTGATGGTTATAACTGACATGTTCTGACTTATTACTGTCACATTATTGTCCTTTTGTTGACCCTTTTTACTTTTTCTCCCGTCTCCTTTTCATTTCTTGCCTTACCTATTTGATTTGCTCTGTTGGGCCTCATGGTATTGTGACCTTCGTTGTCCTTTTCTAGGATATTGTTTAGAATTCCTTGTAGTGCTGGTTTGGTGTTCATGAAGTTTCTCAGGTGTTCTTTGTTGTGGATGTATCTTATTTCCCTGTCCATTTTGCAAGAGAGTTTTCATACAATCTAGGTATACAATACAGTTACATTCATTATTGGGATCCTGTACCTTTACATAATAGGTCTTGATTCTCATTTTTCCCCCTTGTCCCTGCTCTCCCCTCACCCCCTTCTCCCCTCGCCATTTACAAACACTTTATTTCCATTTTTCAGTTTCTCATATTTTTTTTCCTCTCCCTTATTACCTTTCCCTCACCCTTCCCACTTTCCCTACACCTTTAGCCCTTTACTTCCTATTTCACATTATTAATTATCTCATTAGGATCCTGTGTACTATTATAGTTTTTCACACCAGAGAAACTATTCGGTATTTCAGTTAAAGAAATCTCTGTATGAACTTTAAAAATAGGAAATCCTAAAATAAAACTAAAAAGGAAAGTAAAAGAGAAAATGCAATGATGTAAGATTAAAATAATCCTTAATTCTGAAGATGAAAATGGTTCCTTAACATATTTAAATTGCTTCTTTCTCTTGTAGTCTTTTCTTATTCTTTTTTTCATTATTTAGAAAATACTTTGTTAGTTTCTGTAATCAAACCCACGTAGATATGACCTTACATATTTAATACAGTGTGTTACCCCTGTACAAATGGAAAAAAATAATAAAAATAAAAAAATTAACATTTCTAGACCAACATGGCTGTCAATTTCTGTACAATGCCAACTCAACACAGTAAATTGGGATAACTTTTTCCAAAGTTGACAGCACCTTTAAAGTTTCCAAAAATTCAAATTTTATATATATATATAGATTTTTTATATAAAAAGACCAATAATAGCAGTATGTTATGCATCAATAGCAGCAACAGCTTTTCCAGGTTCTTCATTCATCTGAACAAAATTATAGACATTCAGCACATGAATACGCTTTTCAATATAGCATCTGTACCATGTATGATGGGGGCTTAGACTTGAGTTAGGACAAGAGGAGTAGGTAGGTGAAAGAATTGGAGAAGGTTTCAAGTGAAGCCAGAGGACATAGAATGACCATCCTATCTTTATGAAACTATTAACTTCAAAGGGGATAGACAGAGTGCAGGAATAAGGATAAGAATATATCCCCTTAACAGTAATAGGGGCTCACTTTCCCTTGAAGCTATGGAGCCATGAGTGAGGTAAAATGACAGGAGAAAAGAACATAAAGAAAAAAATAAAAAAATGATAAAAGAAGAAGTCTGACTTAGGGCAGGAGTAGGAATAAAAAGGGAGATGAGGGATAATATGGTGGAGCAAGAGACTGAGTTGTAGAAAGAGGACAGAAAAAAGAAAGAAATTGTAGGGTGGAATGAGGAAAAGAAAAAGAATTTGAAGGGCCTCTTTCAGACCATGTCTCTGTTGTCATATTGTACCACTTGCAGAACCAAATGCCCTGATCTCAGCTAGTCAATGGCAGGTCCCCGTGACTCAGACTGACCTCAGTCCATAAGGCCTAAATTGAGTTTCCCAACCCACAGGGTTGATCTCCACTCAGTACTATTACAGGTTTCCCCTGCCCTTTCTTTAAAGATGTTAAAAGTTGGGAGCTCAGAAAAATACCCTTCATGACCACCTATGCCTCTGCAGAGTGGGTCCAAGGACTGGGCCAATCAGGAGGTTTGAGAAAGGCAGGGGGAGTCAGGTCGTGGGAGTGTTTCAAGGGCTCCTGAGTGGCTACCTTCCTTGCTGGATCTGGTGGCATGCAGTCAGGAAGGTCACGGACCCACCAGGTGGGCCCAAGTAGGTGGCCGGAAAAATCTCTGGGGGCCTTCCTTGCTGGGGCTGGTGGCCTTGCTTTACTTTCTATTGGTGCCTCATGGACCTGCTTTGAAAGAGCTGGGAATCTTTGGGGCAATTTGTTGCCTTTTTTTTTGTTTGTTTGTTTGTACTGGGGACTGAACTCAGGACCTTGTGCTTATGAGGCAGGCAGTGGAACCACTGAGCTAAATCCCTGGCCTAATTTTTACCTTTTTATGTTCTTTTTTGTGTGTGCTAAATGTTGAGGTGAAATAGAGTGAAGAGAGTTTGTTGTTGATATGTGAATCTCTCCAGTTAGATTGTTTTTTGGTGGTGTGTTCTTGGATTTATTTTTTTTTTTTTTGTACCAGGGTCCTTGCACTTGTGAGGCAGGCCCTGGAACCACTGAGCTAAGTTCCCAGCCCCATCTTGGATTTATTTGTGTAGAAATATTGTCTTCATTGTATTTTACTTGTTTAAGTAGTGCATGCCACTATGTTGTAAGGAGAAAATGTCAACTTCTCATAAGAATGTCACTGCCAAGCCTACATCAATCATAAACATTAAAATTTGTTTTGATAATTTCACCATTTTGTCAATACCCCTTACAGACTGTGTTGATTGTTATCTTGGTTTTTGTGTGGGGGGTGAGGAAATGGAAAGATAGGGGAAAAGGAAGAGTGTATGAAAATGGGAATAGTAGAAGTTAAGAGAAATTCCAATGGCTAAGAAAATAGGAAGTTGTAATCTGTTGAAATCTTTTTTGTTGTTGTTGTTGTTTTTGTATCGTGAATGAAACTCAGGTCCTTGTGCTTGCAAGGCAGGTGCCAGAACCACTGAGCTAAATCCCCAGCCCTGTTGAAATCATTTTATAGATGGGTTAAAGGGCTGGTGTTCTGGTTTGAGAGAGTATTTCTGTAGGCAGGAGGATGAATGTAAATGGGTGGAAATTTATTTAGAGATGGAGGGAGGCTGTGAGGTTGCCGAGCCCATTAATGTTTGTTGGTTTTGTTTCTGTCCTCTAAGCTCAACTTTGTTAACAGTTACCCTGACATGCCCTTAAGTGGTAATGTTTAATTTATAGCACTAGTTACTTAATACGCATACAATAACGCATAAAATTATGCACATCTCTAATGCATATATTTATATTTATGTTGTTGGATAGGTGAAGATGAAGTGGGACAAAGACACTAGATAATGAGGAATAGAGGAGCACAAAGAATGTGGAGGGAGGAGACCCAAAACATAGGAGGGCAGAAACACATTTTTAAAAGAGGAAGCGACTGTGGATGCATCCAGTCCTCCAGGCTGTCACTGAAGGGCCAGATCGCTCCCTTCCTCAGTCTGATCCTTCCCCAGGGTTTCATGTAAGCTGCATCTGCGGTGGGCCTGGGGTGGGGTACCGTGATCTAGGCATGGTCTAGTCTCCCCTTTCCCACCTCTAAACACTGGATTTTAGTCCAACTGGATTATGCTTTTAGGTATCCTCCCATACCAGACTTTATCTTTTGCCCCTGGAGACACTCACCCTATCTGTCGCCCACAAGTCAACCATGGAGGACCTTCTACCTTTTCCATTTTACACAGGCCAGGTAAACAGGGGAAGAGGCTGAGGCAGACATCCCCACCTCATCTAAAACCCCATCTGTCTGACCTCTGGTCATGTCTGCTTTCCTCTAGAGTGTCTGGGTGATGTCTCCAGTATGGGGACATCTATTGTATGGTCACATCTTGTACACTCACATTAACACCTGGGTTCCAGTTACACCTGGTATATGTTGTACCCTGTTCCCTCTGTTTTACCCCTGGGATTACATAAACATAGTCACATCTGGGACTCAGTGATGGCCAAGCCCATTTGGGGGATTTTGATGTCTGACTTTTTCTTGTATGAGCTGCTGTTAGAGACTATCTTTTTGTGTGGCTGATTACATCTGGGCCATGGTTGGGGCTGGTCTGAGGCCAGGACTCAGGGTGCCTCTGAGAAATGACTGAGATCTTATTTCAGTCTTGTCTAAGGCAAGTATAAGGTGCATCCAGGCCACACCTGAGACCCGCATGGGTTACATCTGGAATATTAACTGGACTATATTTAAACACTGTCTATGAACTGTCTTTGGGCTTCACTGAGGTCATGTCAGACCATCTGGTGTGTATCAGAGCATACTGTGTTGTGTCGTGGTTGTCATACATGCTGTGTCCTAACAGGACATGTTAACACAGGGGATTGTGTCCTATGTCCCCAGTTTATGTCAGGAGATGTCAGAGGTTGCAAAGGAGAACAGCATGTCCTAAGTTTGTAGAAAGATCTCTATAAAGTGTTTTTCTGTGCATGGGCTTGGCAGAACTACTGGACTATGTAGGAACCATGCCAAGGTGGGGTGGGGCATGTTGTCCTGTATTAGGCTGTGCCTGTGCTCTAATCTACTGATGCTGCCTCTCCTGCACCCCCACATCCTGCTTTCTGTCTCTGGCTCCCATTCAGCATGCTGGGATCGGAGGGGAGAAATACAGGCCCCTGACTGAGACCGCCCCCCCCCCCATCCATGCTTTCCCTTTCTTAATGGTCCCGTTTGTTCTGTTTCCTGCTAGTTCAGATTTCAGTCAAAGATGTCTTCTTCTACAGCTTCCTGAGACCCTGGCTGGGTGAGTACCTGCAGGTAAAGGGGCTGGGGGACAGCCGGGGGGACCAGGGAAGGGGCTTCCTTTGCCCACTGCCCATGGCTGCCCCACCAGGGGATGGGCTCTTGCTGAGTGCTGGTGACAAGTGGAGCCGCCACCGTCGCATGCTGACACCCGCCTTCCATTTCAACATCCTGAAGCCCTACGTGAAGATTTT